AGCGTCCAGGGGAAAATCTGGCACGGTGAGGTTTTGTAAGAATTGCTAGTAAACTTCTGGGATTATATCTGGATTTCAAAAGAACTGATTTTGTAACAAACATCCTGCTCATGGCAGGGAGTCAAGTCACAGCCTACAGTTTGATTCTCGGAGAGGTTGCGGCAAGGGTTTCACATCGCCCTGGGCAAAAAGAGGGTCTCGAATTGTGACTCTTCTCATAAGAAAAGAAACAATGGGAATGTAAATGCAAATAAGTAATAAGCACCCCCTTCGTGGTTAGTCTGTGCTGTTGTACTTCTGCACCGGACCTGGTTCCGCTAATTGCATGATTCTGTCAGCTTCATTCTGGCTTCTAGTCACTTACTCAGATTGCCTGGAATTAGACCTGTAACGTCATGTCATATTGTCAATTTGAGGCTGCTTCTTGCAGCTATTATGGAAATAATCACTCTATATGTGTGAATGTGCAAATACTTACAAAATGGATAAGGTGCCAGCGGATGGCACCGGAGGATTGGAGACACGGGCTCCTTTTTGTTTGCTTTCTTTTTAGCTTTGCAAGGTTGACAGGAATGTGCATATGGCTTTATGAAAATGACATATTGGCACGCTTGATGCCCTTCACGGGTGTTAGTGTGGCTTTTTCACCTGTTCATAAAACCTGGGTACATGTACATACCTTGCGACCGGGTCAGTGGGGGGTGAGAATTAACTCCTGCTTTTAAGAAATCCCATGGGGGGGACACACCCTGTGTTAATTCACTTTTAAGAGATTTCAGACACACACACACACATATAGAGAGAGAACTTTTTTACACAGCACATAAGGAACTACACCCACAGGAGGCAGGGATGGCCACAAATTGGGATACTTTTAAAATTGTTGTTGTTGTTTAGTCATGTCCGACTCTTTGTGACCCCATGGACCAGAGCACGCCAGGCACTCCTGTCTTCCACTGCCTCCCGCAGTTTGGTCAAATTCATGCTGGTAGCTTCGAGAACACTGTCCAACCATCTCGTCCTCTGTCGTCCCCTTCTCCTTGAGCCCTCCATCTTTCCCAACATCAGGGTCCTTTCCAGGGAGTCTTCTCTTCTCATGAGGTGGCCAAAGTATTGGCGCCTCAGCTTCACGATCTGTCCTTCCAGTGAGTACTCAGGGCTGATTTCCTTCAGAATGGATAGGTCTGATCTTCTTGCAGTCCATGGGACTCTCAAGAGTCTCCTCCAAAACCATAATTCAAAAGCATCAATTCTTTGGCAATCAGCCTTCTTTATGGTCCAGCTCTCACTTCCATACATCACTACTGGGAAAACCATAGCTTTAACTATACGGACCTTTGTTGGCAAGTTGATGTCATGGATCACTTTTAAAATAGGATTAGACAAATTCATGGAGGAGAGGGCTGTATAGATACTGACCATGATGGAGATTATGCTCTGCCTCCTCGAATGCAGCCAGCGGTGCTTTTTGTGTGTGAATCGTATTCACCAGTGCAGAGTATTGACACCTCTTTTTTGCTGCCCAGGGGAACCATTGTTTGCTGGCACCCATTTTTATCATGATAAGAGACCCAGCACGTAACTTTTAATCCAAAAGGCACAGAAATAGTATTATTTTAAATTGTTTTTTATGTCATTTTATTAGTGTGAGCCACCTTGGGCTCCCCTTGAGGAGGGGGGTGGGTTATAAATTTTGTATGTATGTAGGAATGGCTGAATGAATCAATGAATGAATGTATGAATTACTTGCCTCTTGTCTAAGCAGATTCAAGCTTGGGACTGCTGTCTACACACTAGCTATTCCTGCTTCTCTCAACAACACATGCTTCAGTTGTCAAAACAAAATGGGAGTGAGATGCAGATCATCCCTGTGTGTGTGTTTTCCTGTTGCTTGATTTGTTTTTCTTTAACCAAGGAAAATGGGTTGGCCAATTCCACCACTGCCACCCACTTCTCTATTCCCCTAGTGCCTTGAACTGGAAGCTGATTGTGAGAATGTTAATTCTAGAGAGTAGAAAGCAGGGTAGAGAACGAGGGAAGAGGACAGGGCAGAGGACAATCATCCTCCCTCCTGTGTTATGAAGATTTTAGATACACAGTTTTGATAAAAGCTTGCAAGGACTGAATTTGCTATCAAGCCTAATGTAGCATGACAGATTTTTGTCTGAGCTTGCAAAGGATCACATTTGCAGCTCCTGTGAGGCGGGGAAGTGAGCTCAATAGGCTATTTTCCACATCCATGCTCTGTTCAGGAACAAAAAAAGAAAAAAGAAAGGGAAAAGGAGACAATTGTTGTGTTTCATTTATTGCAAAGGGTGGGGGGAGAGACACCACCTTCTGTTTTAAAACGGTGTAACTGATTACTTCCTTTCATGGAGCAGGTAATGCTTTGGAAACAGGGGCGCCTGCCTGATAGGGCAGAGTAAGAGTTAGCAAGTTGAGCGGGACATGTCTGGAACCAACTGGGCAGCAGTTTGCAATTATTAAACGTTCCTGTAGGGTCTCTGTGGATGGAACAGGGACCAAAAACATAGGCCTGCAATCATATGCCTATGATAAAGAGCTCTGGCTGAGCAACTTGTCTTGATTGTACTGGGGCCACATTCATATCTTGCATTTAAAGTATTATGATACTAAGGAAGGAAGGAAGAACGAACTTCTGACAGATCCTCCAAGTGTCCTTGTTTTCCAGGGACAGTCCCTGATTTACAGAAGCTGTCCTGGTTTCTGTTTGATCCATCAGAAATGTTGGAGAGTATGGCGTTATCACCCCCTCAAGCCATCTGAAGGCAGTTCTGTATAGGGTTTTTCAATGTTTAATGTTTTATCTTGTTTTTATATATGTTGGAAGCCGCCCAGAGTGGCTGGGTCAACCCAGTCAGATGGATAGAATATTATTATTGTTGTTTTTGTTGAATAGGATGTCCCTATTTCCATCAGAGAAATGTTGGAGGGTATTCCTCATGCAGCACATATTCAACCTAGGGAACTCACTCCCACTGAAGGCAGTGATGGCTACCAACCTAGGTGACTTTAAAAGAGGATTAGACAAATTTGTGGAGGACAAGGTGATCAATAGCCATGATGGCTACCTCTGCCAGGTTGCTGAACTAGATGGGTCTTTGGCCTGATCTAGCAGATGCTTTTTATGTTCAAAGAATTCTGGAAGCTGTAGTTTTTTTAAGGGATTAACTGTTAAACCACTGTGGAAGTTGTAGCTCTGGGAGAGGAATAGGGAGCCGCCTACCATCTCTCTGCACCCTTAATCTGTAGCTCTTTGGGGAAGCCATGACTGTTTAAAGTGGTATCCTATCACTTTAAATATATAGTGTAAATGTGGCGTGTGTCTTCTTTTTCTGTCAAGTTACTGGTAGGTAGAGTCATAGCCTATGATGGGTTGAGCCAGAAACATAAGTGTTCCAAATTAGCTAATCCATTATAAACACCTTTGTGCTTCAGTTTTCACCTCAGATTAGAGTTTTCTAACCTATGCACGCCTACCCAGAAGGACGGACCATTCGGTTTGATTGGATTACTCTACAAAAAATTCAGAATTCCATAGCATCTGGAGAGACGCATCTTGACTACCTCTGATTTTGACTGTCTTTTTTTAGTTGCAGCTATAGTAATAATGGGAAGCGGAGGCTGGGTGGAAATGGTTTGCTACAGGCTGTGTCTCTCCATTGTTGGTCTAACGTGGGAGACAGCTGGAGGACATGTTCCAACTGCATGACGGAAATCAGTTTGTAAAAAAAGCAAGAGGGAACTACGGCTAATGGCCATGTCTGTCCTGAACAGCCCGATTAACAATATTGCTTTGCTGGTATATTAGCACATTGTACATTCAAGCTCTCGTTCCGATAGCAGAATTATAGAACTGCTCCGAGATCCCTTTTCTGCTGAGTTGACATTTGTAAGGTTTTGCCTTGCTAAAGCAAATAAACCTGCTTATGGTAATGATCAAATGTATACTGGAGGCCTGATGGGATTGTTTGTTTATTGGTTGATTTTGGGCGCTGCTTGTTGATAATGGCAAGATGCAAGGAGTGATTTGCTCCTCTTGGATGTCCAGATTAGTTGATCAGAGGAGAGGGATTCTGATGAGTGCTAATTCACATCAACATGCTCAACAGCTGTTGTGAGCAGGATCCCTAATATTTGCGTGAGTCAATCAGCTACCATGGAATAACCACTGTAGAAAACAATGTATTTCCTACTGACTGACGTAAATGAAGTAGCAAAAAAGTTTGCACGTTCTGCTGAAGGTTACTAAACAGTTGGTTGTTCAGCAGATGTACATTTTTGTGTAAACCTAGTAATGTGGGGTTGTCACTAAAGCTAGCACTACTCAGAGTAGACCCACTGAAATTAATAAATAGGACTCACCTAGGCCCATTCATTTCAAATGGTCTCTTCTAAGTAAAATGTTGTTGATTCAACCCAAAATACAGCATCTTCAGAACAACAAAATCATCTTGACTTCTCTGAAAAGATTGTTTTCCCAAAGTTTATTACTTCATATGCTTCTCCTTCCCTGCCACCTCCCTATGCCAATACATTTTACATATAATTCTTTCCTTTATGTTACTCCATGACTGTATTCAGACGTCATGCTTAATTACTGTCTGGGAAGACTAACCTTCCTCCAGACTTAGACTCTCACTCTACCCTTTCCTTTCTCCTGGTTGACTGGGAGGGAAAATTCAGAAACGTCTACTTCCACTTGTAGTCAACCATGGTTTGTTCTGCTTTCTATGGCTAACATTGTGACTTATAGTTAAAACAATCTGAACTTCAAATTGTGGGTAGTTTAGATATGGCTATTTTACTGTTAACTATGGTTACAGGTTGGGATGACATGGTAAAACACAGTTAATCAGAAATTGAAGCAAAAAGCTGTGCAGAAGGAGGAAAGCAGGTGGAGAAGCCCAGAAAGAGACTAGGTTCGTTCACATCTCTCAAAACCATAGTTTAGTGTGATATCCAAACACAGCCAGTGTGCAGAAGTCCTGTAGCTCACTGGTAGAACACCTGCTTTGCATGCAGAAGGTCCTAGGTTCAATCCCTAGCTTCTCCAGGTAAGCTGGGAGAGTCTTCTACCTGAAACCCTGAAGAGCTGCTGCTATGTAGCATCAGGTCTATGTAGATCAGGGATTCCCAAAATTGGGGCTCTCCAGCTGTTTTTAGACTGCACTTCCCATCATCCCTGACCACTGTTCCTGCTAGCTAGGGATGATGGGAGCTGTAGTCCAAAAACAGCTGGAGACCCAAGTTTGGGGAACCCTGGTGTAGACATTACTGAGGGATCAATGGTCTGATTCAATATTAAGGTGGCTTCCTAGGATTCTGTTGTGGAATGACATATTGTGTTTTTTTCAGGATTGTGTATTACCAGTGCCGATATAACAACTCTGATTTTTTAAATAAAAAAACCCCAGTGGTATTTGCCTAAAATTAGCTGTTTCCACAAAGATTTCTTGCCAACAAACTCATTCATTAAAATATTAATGGAAAGCAAACACGAAAAGAAGGGAGAAACACAGCTGACGCAAATTTGGTTTAAAAGAGCAAACAAGTATCCTCTGAAAATTTTCCCTATTATTCATCCAGGTCGAGGGAGAGAGTGGGGGAGGCCACCAAACAGTTCTTCAAAGATTAACAGTTGCAGTCTATTGAGATAAGTCTCATAATGGAAGAGTTCGGGATAGGTTTGTGGATGCTTATAAGTTTTGTGAGGTAGTTTGGTGAATTTTGGGAGGGCATTTCTTTCACAGTCAGAAGTTTAAGAGCTAAAGCTTACCCTTTTACTGCACCTCCAAGCTAGGAAGAACTTCATCTACTAGGTTCCTGCCTGTAATCCAAATATATTTCAGAAAAGGGACTTTGGCAGTGTGCTGCTTGATGACGAGGTCTACCTGAGCGTAAGAGGTGTGTTTGGCTTCTTCGCCATATAGCTTACAGCAAATGCTGAAGACACGATTCTTTACCCTAGCCTTTGACATTTGAGGTGGGTGTTTTCAAGGCTGACTTTAGTCTGTGGTTGCAATGTGTTTTAACTGTTTTAAGTTTTTAATTACTGTAACCTGCTCTGGGACCTGCTGGTGAAGGAGGGTTAATAAATGTTACAACATTTCTAGGAGTATGGAGTGCTACCACAGATCCTTTGACACACACACACCCCCGGTCAAAGAGAGTGTCACCTTCATAATATGAATACACTGCTTTCCATCTGTGGCATACCCTCCAATATCTCTGCAATGAAAATAGGGATGTACAACAACAAGAAGAAGAAGAAGAAGAAGAAGAACAAGAACTTTATTTATATCCTGCCCTTCTGACTGGATTGCCCCAACCACTTTGAGCAGCTTCCAACACATATAAAAACATTAAACATTAAAAAACTTCCCCATACAGAGATACCTGCATGTGTCTTCTAAAGGTTGTGTAGTTACTTATCTCCTTGGCTCAGAGGTTGCAAAACTCCATACTCTCCAACATTTCTGCAATGAAAATAGGGGTGTCCTAAAGAAAAGCAGGACATTTTGGGATCAAATCAGAAACCAAGATGGCTTTTTTAAAATCCAGGACTGGTCCTGGAAAACAGGGGCACTTAGAGGGTCTGCTGTGGGACCTGGAAAATTACCCCATTTCCCCCTGTTGCCCAATATGGCTGACTCAGAGCCCATAATCTGGAAGTAGAGAACCCCAGAAACCAAACAAAACACCCCAGACCTCTCTATCTGGCCCAGAGGACTCTTATTAGCGATTTGTCAGGTTTGCAGATGCTTGTCCTGCACCATCCATTTCATTTGAGAAAGAAGGCAGAGGGCAAGAAAATACATTTCCCCCCTTTTTTCATAATAGATAAATCATTCACTTTCATTAGCAACACAACTGATAGTATAAAGGGCTCAACAGTATCCAGAAGTTTTTGTTTTGTTTTGTTTTTGTTTACTTTTAAAAACTGTATTTAAAAAAAGTTTGTGACCCAGAACAACTATTGGATCTCCCCCTCCAATCATAGCTACCATTTTGTGCAAAACATTTGTGTGTGATTTTTGCTGAGGCAGCCCTTGCCTTGGTCAGCTGTGTAATTATGAGGGAGTTTCATCTGTAGGTTTGTTTAAATGTCTCCCTGGTGTGTACAAGTCCAGTACCAAGAAAGACAAAACCTCTCTGTTCCTTTTGCCTTAAATGATACCCTGGGTATGTCTTGTGGGGTATTTTTTCCAGTTTGTTCAGTGTTACCGAGCCTTTTTTCTCCCTGGACTCCGCCTGTGTTATTTAAGTGACTTTGTGGACAAAGGCTCCACCCTTTGAGTTCCTTTGAGCTCCTCTTCCCCCTCTCCACCTGCACATTTTGTGTAGTAAGAAATGCACAAATGCTATGCAGCCCTTGTTGGCTGTTTTATTCCCATACGTAACATTAAGCTTATGTTCATGTAAATAAATACAACCTTAAAAACACACAACCTTGAAAAACAATGGCTCTGACTGATAAAGCTTTATGGATTCTTCCATTCTTCCATCTGGCTCATAAATAACACTTCTTTTAAAGTGTTTGGATAACCTTTTGCTCTTTTCACATTGTTGGACTTCAGTTCCCACTGTTCCAGACCACTGGCCATGTTAGCTGAGGCTGATAGGAGTTGGAGTCCAACAATATATTGAGGACCATAGGTTCAGCACCCCTGCTTTTAGACATAATCTCACCCCTCTGCTGCCCAAGCAACTCTCTCAACTAGGGATGGGGGAGAAATTTGAATCAATTCACATTTAAAGGTGGTCCCACCTAATTCACACTTCCCAAAAAGCTATGTGAACTGAAAGAAACACAACCGTCCTTTGACATTCGCATGTCTCTGAACTTTGCAATGCAACCCTCCAGCCAAGCAATATGTACAGAATGGCATCTATTAGGGTATAGTCTCTACACAAATGCATATATGTGCAAAGATAGCATGTGGAACTATTTGGGGAAATTGTTTTGCCAAAAGAAATGTGGGTATTAGGCAAAACTGCATACAAATAAGGATAAATGTGCAATAAAATGCTTCTGAATTTTCACAACTTTTAAAACAAAAAAATAAAATGCACACTGATGTGGAAATATGGATAACTGGGTTTAAGATTGTTAAAAAATGATAATGAGAATGATTGAAACTGCAGTTGACAGATTCACACAACCCTGCTTTTGACCTAGAGAGAGTCTACCTGTGCGTAGGCATATGTTAGTCTTTGCTGCCTGGGCTGGGTTGGGGAAACATGCCAAAGGATCCATCAGTATTTTTAATTCAGAAAATTAATTCAAGGAAGTGCATTTTGTTAAATAAAAAGAGGGAGAGATTTTGTGTGTGTGTTTCTGTTTATCCATCCATCCATCCATCCATCCATCCAGCAGCCTGGATGCGAGTGTGGATTCTGCCTGCTCTAATCATGGATTATTGCAATTGCAGTACTGATTATATGCAGAACCCCCCTGCCTTTGTCTCTTCTTTTCTCTATTGCCACGCCTTTCAGTTCTTCATAGCCTGAAAATGCATCTCATGAGGATAAAGAGCGATAAAATGCATGGCAGGCTGTAGAATTTAGTTTTTATTTAGGAAATGCCTAAAAGAATATGGATGAATAAAGGTGTCTGCCTGCCTCTAACTTTTAAGCACATTTGAATTGTGCTTGTGTCATGGGGTCAGAATCCTGCATAGGCACGATAGGCCTGTAAATCACTTCACTAACCTTGCCCCCCCCCCATACAAGCTACTGATCATGTGTCTCTCCCCCTGTACCCCATTGCTGGATTAGTAGCAATAAACACGGATGGAATTGGTGGTCCCTCAGGAACAGACTGTGAAGAGGGGGGAGGCAGTTGACCGCATTGTTACGCTAGGCCTTGTAAACCTGCAAGACCATTTAGGCTTTTAATATGGACTAGTCCTCTCTCTCCCTCTCTGTTTCTGTCTCCTTCTCTCTCTTTCATTGCAGGCCAGGCTGCTGCACAGTTTTACAGGGTCATAAACGCCCTGACAGGAGTCATAAACGCCTCCAATTGCACCACACATAGCCATGGAGTATATTTTAAGGGCCCCTGAGTTTTCATTTTGCAGCTTTTATGGGGGCTCGTAAAAACCTCAGCGAGGCGCGGCTTCTGATTGGCCTGTCGGTGCGAAGGTAGTTAAAATTACAGCCACAGACAAATTGTTCTAGTCCGAATATATCAGAAGTTTTGCATGCGATGGGAGGGAGGAGGCAGCGTTCTGCCCCTGTGGCACCCCCATGTGCCCTGGCTCATGGATGACCCCCCCTCAGCCTCCTCAGAAGCTTGCAAGGACACCTGCAAAAGGGTCACCTCCCCTCTAGGCAACACTGAGGACCAAGGATTAATTGAAGCCTCAGCTCAACCCTGAAGGGATGGTGACTATTTTTTAATCATCATGGGAAAGTCTCCCAGAGGCAGAGTGTATGTTTTGCATGTGCAATGCCCACAGACTGAATCCCTGACATCTTTAGTAGTTAAGGGATGTAGCTTTACAAGATTGGGAAAGACCCTAAGTGGCCTTAGTACAAGTGCCACTGTGCTGTTGTGCTTAAAGTGTTGTACTAGGGTCTGGGAGAGAGCCGGGTTCAAATTGCCACTTGGCCATGGTGTTCACCTGGTAACCATAGGCCAATCCCTGCTTTTCATCCTAACCTACCTCACAGTGTTGTTGTAAGGATTAAATGAAGAGGGGGCGGGGAGAGAAGCATTCACACCACCTGAATCTCCTTTGTGGAAAAGGTGGGATAGCAATGCAAAATAAATGAATAAATCAGATCTTTGGTCCATCTGGCTCAGTTTGCTTACCCTCCAATATTTACCTGATGAAAATAGGGATGTCCTAAGGAAACACAGGACATCCCGAAATCAAATCAGAAACCGGAATGGCTTCTGTAAATCTAGGACTGTCCCTGGGGAAAAGGGACACTTGGAGGGTCTGGTATTGTCCACATTGGCTGGCAGCACCTTTGCAGGATTTTGGTGTCTTCCAGTCCTGCGTAGAAATGTCGGGGATTTGAGCTTCTGAATGTGAAGCACCTGCT